ATGGTTGTGGTGGTTGCTTGTCTGATTTTTGCTATTGTTGCAGATCTGTGGGGGTTTCTTCCGAACGGTGTTGTTGGAGTGGTAGTGTTGGTTTCCATATTTTGGCGGTATTGGGGATTTAGGTTGATTTTTGTTGATGGTGTAGGTGGAGTTGCTGGCGGTGAGGGTTGGTGATGATAGTGGTGGTCATGGCGGTGGTGCGTTGGTTGTAAGTGGGATGCCCATGGGATGGGGGTTGTGACCGTTTGTGATCGGTTGTGACCTAATTGTGACCGTTTGTGGCCGATTGTGACTGTTTAATTGTGACCGTTTGTGACTGATTAATTGTGACTCGTTGAGACCGTTTGTGGCCGATTGTGACCAATTCATGGGTTGGGGGTGTGATTTTCAATTTTCTGAAAATTTTGAAATCGCCGGAACGGTCGTCGAAGAAGTCGTCGGACCGTCGCCAGAGCAGTGGCCGGACCGTCGCCGGAGCAGTGGCCGGACCGGTGCCGGAAATGGAGGGAGGTAGTGTAGTGAAGAGATGGGGTTGGTGAGGTGTTATGGGGTGGTGTAAAATGTAAATAATTAATATATATTATATTATAATTTAATATTTAATATATTATAATTTAATATTTAATAAATTTATTTAGCACCTGATTTTTGAAATATTTTAAGAAGCTTGTTATTTATGAAATGTGAACTTTAAAAATAGGAACTATGTATTGTTCCCTTCAAATTATGAAATGATTTGATTTATTTAATTAATTTGCTAATTTGTTTAGAAAAAAATAAAATAATTTAATTAATTTAATATAAAAAATAAAAACATTTATTTAGTTTCGGTTCTTATTCTGTTCTTCAGTTCTTGGTCTAGAATCGAGATCCGACCCAAACTCATCGGTTCTCGATTCGGGTATTTAACTTAAGAAGAACCGCTCGGTTCGGATTCGATTCGATTCGATTCGGGATTTTTGGACACCCCTATTCAGAATTGAAATGTCGGTTCCTTACTAGCTTACTGAATCAAAGCAATGCAGTCAAAGGATGCTTGCAAGGGTAATGTTTGAATTGTGCTTATTAATGTAGGGTAGGAATTAAATTATTATTAATCAATCTTAAAAAATGAAAAACAAAAGAATCTTCTTTTCAATTTGTCAAAATTCATTTCACCTACTTTTTTTAATTCATACTTTTCCAACTTGTTAGTTTCTTGTCAAAACTCCCATTTACATAATACTGATTTCAATGTGTTTCAATCTCAATTTGGACCATTGGTTGACTTTGATTGGTTGTGCTTATCATCCTCAATTTTTTGTTACAAGTTGTGCAATCAGTTTCAATTTATCATGTGGCCCTCATAGGAACGTGGAACTATCGTATCCACCGCATGAGCATAATTAATAGAGGATATTCCTATAGTCAAGTAGATGAAAAATGAGTGAGAAAATTCTCTTCTCGATTGTTATCAATTAACTCTTCAAAAGTTTCAAAATTTGTTAAAATTCAAAAGTAAAGTCGAACCTCGTGAACCTAAAAGTGCAAGAGTCAATGAGTGAACCCCCATGTACAAAATTATTCCACAGAATTTCACCATCAAACTCACAATGAGTGAACTCCACCGTGTATTAAAAAAAAATCCATGGAAATCATATTTGAATTGATTAATAGTTGACTTATAAAAATAGATGACGAGAAATCAATAAATATTTCTTTAAAAAAAATAAAATGAAGAGCCAAAATAGAGCATTATTGGAATGTAAACTGAGAGTCTTTTAAAGATGCTCTGAATTCATCAATCTTCGAAGAAGATCAAACGAATTAACGGCTATTTTGTATTTTAAAAGTTGTTGACAATTTCACATGTCAATGATTTTTGTTTTTTACATTACGCGTTCAGTCAATGATTTTTTTATTTTTTATTTTTAAGGATGCTTGCAATATTTTAATCCCCACTTTTTTCTGAGTAATGTTTGAATTGTGCTTATTAATGTAGGGTAGAAATTAAATTATTATTAATCAATCTTTAAAAAAAAAAGGAATCTTCTCTTCAATTTGTCAAAATTCATTTCACCTACCTTCTTTTTTAATTCATACATTTCCAACTTGTTAGTTTCTTGTTAAAACTCCCATTTAAGTAAATACTGATTTCAATGTCTTCAAAGTTCAATCTGCACCATTGGTTGGCTTTGATTGGTTGTGCTTTTCATCCTCATTTTTTTGTTACAAGTTGTGCGATCAGTTTCAATTTATCTTGTGGCCCTCATAGGAACGTGGAACTGTCGTATCCACCGCATGAGCATAATTAGGCTCCATTTGGGAGCCATTCTTTCTTCAAATAATACATTTTTTCTTTCACATCAAGTGGGGTACATGGTTGGAAAGAGACACAAAAAAGGTGTGATTTGACACAAAGAATGCATTTTTTTGTAGAAAAATGGTTACCAAACGGAGGCTTAATAGAGGATATTCCTATAGTCAAGTAGATGAAAAATGAGTGAGAAAATTCTCTTCTCGATTGTTATCAATTAACTCTTCAAAAGTTTCAAAATTTGTTAAAACTCAAAAGTAAAGTCGAACCTCATGAACTTAAACGTGCAAGAGTCAAGTGACTATATAATAGAAATATGAATAAAGCTTCTTGTATATTTCATAGATGACAATGTGGATGACATTGCGTTCAAATTCAAAAATGAATGGGCGGGAAAGTGTATTTTGTTTTAAAACTGGCCACTTGTGCTGTGACACGTGGTATAATGTCAAATTTGATGTCAAAAAAAGTATACATGTAGCATGATTGTAGAAATATAGCCAATTTAACATCGAGGACCGATTTCTTAACTATAATAAGTTAAGAACATAATTTGCTAAATGTAGCATTATGTTGTACCCAAAAATTGCAATTTTCCCAATTGCAATATAACCGTGCACAATATGACAATTTATTCAAGGTTCTCCAAATACTCTCTCTCTCTCTCTCTCTCTCTCTCTCTTCTCTGTATATGTAGATTTGTCTGCATCTTGCCAGATTAATCATCTTTTGTCGTTTGATCAGAAATCATCAGACAACCTATAATTATCAAATCCGATCGTTTATTAACTGTATCTCTTTCTATCTGAAACTCTCTCTCTCTAATCCATGGGGAAAATAACGACAATCAGAGACATCCTAGGAGTTATCAAAGACAAGGCATCCTTATCCAAAGCAGCCCTACTCTCAAAATCCAACGTTTCACTTCCTCTCCGCCTAGCCATCCTCCGTGCTACCTCCCACGTGCCACCAGAGCCTCCCGGTGACCACCACCTCTCCAACATCCTATCTCTTGGAAACAGCTCGCGCGCCACAGCCTCAGCTGTCATCACCGCCCTCATGGACCGCCTGAACTCCACTAGCAACTGTTATGTCGCCCTCAAGTCTCTTATGATTATTCACCACATCATCAAGCGTGGACCCTTTATACTTCAAGATCAGCTTTCAGTTTTTCCGACCACCGGCGGCCACAATTATCTAAAACTCTCCGCCTTCCGCGACGGAGCCACCGCCGGAACATTGGCTCTCTCTGCATGGGTGAGATGGTATGCACGTTACTTGGAAACCATACTTTTCACTTATAGGGTTTTGGGTTATTTCCTCTGTTCATCATCAAACGGCATGATTAAAGACAATCAAGAAGAAACAATCTCATCTTCGTTGAACGTTGACTTGATTAAGGAAGTAGATTCTCTGATTGTACTGATTGAAGAAATGAGCAAAGCACCTGATCATACCCCAGTTGAAGGTAACATTTTGTTGAACGAGGTTATGGGATTACTGGCTAATGATTATTTATCAGCAGTGAATGAAATTTTGTTAAGACTCGGCGAGTTCAAGGAGAGACTGAGTTGTCAGACTTTCGGTGACTCGGTCGAGTTAATATGTGCATTGAAGAGGTTAGAAAGTTGTAAAGATAGAACGTGGGCCCTTTTTGCCATTAAGAAGCCTTCGATTGATATGTTATGGGGTTTGTGTGAAGAATTGAAAGATGGAATTGAGGTGTTGAAGGTGTACAAAGAAGGTGGGAAATTACTGAGTTCGGGGAGGAGAGAGAAGGCAAGCCAGTCAGCTCGGTTAGAACAGGGAGTTTTGAAGCATGCTGACTCGGTCCAATTTCAATCAGGAAGATTTGACATGGATAAGTTCCCTTTCTTTGTTGTACAATCTGTTGAATCGAATTTGTTATGATTTTGTATGATGAAATATCATGTAATTAAAATATAATGGGGAAAGTCGGGAGATAATATTTTAATTGAGGAAATACCCGCTTTTGGTCAACATACAGGACCACTTTAGATTAGCATTACTTTAGATCTAAGGAAAAATTCACGCATTAACCATCATCAATTCAATTTCTAGATTTTATGCAAAACTCGAGTGATAAATAAATAATTAAATATATTAAGGTTACAATTATACAATTAATAGTCACAGTTACGTAGTTATATGTTACAATTTATTTATTGATAACATATTATCAAATTAATTGGCTACAAATTATTTTACGGTTCGTCGGTCACGTATTCCAAATTATTTAGTCACAGATTATTTTTCAATCTCAAATTATATAATTTTTAGGTTACAATTAAATGGTTCGTCACAAATAACAAAATATTGGTCATAAATTAATCAAATAGTGGTCACATACATCAAACACCCACCTCCGATCCCCATCTTGATGCACTACCAATATTTGGTCATAAATCAATCAAATAATTGGTCACAAACTCTCTTCTTTCTAATCCGTTGCCGCTGCACCACTACCACAACTACTACCAACATCAACTACAACCAGAGACAGACCCAGCACCCTGCTAGGGGGGCGGCCGCGCGTGCTAGGCTCCGACCGGTTCGTCTTCTTCGTTGGTTCCTTTGTTTTTTGTTTTTGTCTGCAGCCATTCGCCGGTCATTTTCAATGAGCAATTAGGAGGATTTGAAAACCGGTCCCTCTCCCTTACGCACACGTAGTTAGCCTTAACGTTGGTTGGAATAAGAGGAATCTCTCTCATACAGTCTTGAAATTCAGAAACATTACTTTTTCAAATCTTCAGTATGTTTACCTTCTCTCCCGACAAATTAAAATGTTAAAAAATATCAATTAAGATGGATTACGCCTGTGGGGATTAAGGGAGTGTTTGTGCTGGTTTTTCTTATTTGTTTGGATCTTGTGTTATGTATTTTCTCCTTAATTTTGCAGTGCACTTCACGTGTTTGTTAAATCGTCTAGGTGATTGTTCTACCACTACAGCACTATGATTTTCTAGGAGCATATTGCCATTTTTAACCCTTTCCCAGTGTAATGCATTATACATGATCGGTGAAATCCCCCTTTCCTTAACATAGATTGAATTGAAAATGTGTGTGGCCTTTGTTTTGCTACCATAGTCCATATGACTTAATCCATTCTGCATTGTATTTTTCACAGTTTCTGATTTCTAATCAATAATTTTGTAAAGATTGACATGGCTGAAAGACAGTTTAATGAGCCGCAACATGACGCACAATTTTAGTCTCCTCCGGCAACAAAGGAGGACATGATCTCTTATGTGGTAGCATTTGAGGCTGCTTTGCTACCGTGCTTACCTGCGAGAGAACTCCAAGCAATCGACCGCTCTCCCCATCCTTCTCACCAGAGTATGTTATCGTTTTTCTGTTATTTTTAGTACTGCTTTTGCAAATTGGCATGAAGAAAGGAGGTGACCACCACTGGGGTTCACAAGAGTTAAACCTTTAGGATGAATTTAAACTAGTAAATGGTCAATTAATTTATTCGTTGATTGTTTGCACTTTGATAATTAATATATAATGTCTCAAATATCAGCTTCAACTATTATCTTACTAATGCACAAGGAGATTCATGAGTGGTCACCATATGCTGCAAGATTTGAGTTCCTAGGATATAGTTAGTCCCGATGAAACTCCCTGGATAAAAATGAAACCATGGATAAGCCATCTTAAGAGGGCATTAAAATCTTTCCTCAGTGCAAAGATATCAAAATTTTCTAACAAGAAAACACATGACTATAGATGGTAGATAAAGCAGAAAAGCCAAATCAAGAATCTGATTGAACTTGATTATTATGTATACTTGATTCTTTAACTCTACATACTGCTAAGTCATCTATTGACGATATCAATTAAGATCAATGAATAGCTCAAGCCTTATGGTAAATTCGTTTAGGATGAATTTAAACCAGTTAAGGGTCAATTAATTTATTCATTGATTGTTTAAAGTAAATATATATTTCAAAGAGTTGTCAAAGGTTCAAGAGGAATAAGATGATATTGAATGGTACAACCATGACTTCCTGATAGTGTGCTAATGTATACGACTAACAAGATTCAAGTCATTGCCTTTTCTCGTGATAATTTGTCGACATTGACCGCTAACCGTTGACTGGTCAACACCCGCCCGGGCTAGGATGGTTTGTTGGGTCCGTCCTTGACTACAACAACACATCACCACAACCACCAACAACACTGACACTGCAAACAAAAACTACACCAACACCAAAACATGAAAAAATAAAAAAATAAAAAACCATGGCACCACCGTCACAGATCATGCATTACTCCAAAAATCGACAAATCCAACAAAAACCACCACCAAGACACCACTAGTCACAAAATCACACGCAGCGCTGCCGCGCACCAGATCGCGCCGAGCAACGACTACGGGCGGATGAATGGTAGATCCAAACCAGCGTCGTCGTGCACCAGATCACGACATACCAACCAAACCAGCGATGTCATCCATTGATGAATCTATGTTGGAGGCGACTATACGAGCGTTGCCTCGGAGGTGGCCTGTGAGAGGAGTGAACGGGAGAGAGAGAATGGATGAGAAATATTTTAGGTTTTATAGCGGGGGGTGGGAGTGGTGGTTAAATTTTATAATATTATTAATAATTCAATTAATACCTGATTTGGCATGTCTATGAAGAAGACGGGTAATGAAGAAAGGCATGTCTCCGAGGGAGACGAGCGAGCAAAGAATGTCTGTGAAAGATGAGAAAGAGAATGATTTAGGGTTAATATAATTAGTAATTCAATTAATACCTGATTTTTTATTAAATAAACTTAAATACCTGTTAATGTGTAATTTCCACTTAGATCTATATACATCTATACATATACTGATTATGTCATATTATCGATATTTATCATATCCTTCTTTTATGTTCACGTCACAATAGCATTTTAATTATAATAAAGATACTCAATATTTGTTTATTTTTACCTATGTTCTCAACATTTTACGTCATATTTTTATTTTAACCTTTAATTTATTCTCATGTTGTTTTCGGTGTTGATTTTTAACATCTAGAAATCTGTGTAAGTTAAACCGTTTAGCAGGGCTCTCATTTCTTGTAGAATAATTTCCTAAGAAAGATAACTCAAAGTCAATTTTCTCAAAACATTCTTTAGTCAAACAAAATATTATGTTCAAAAGTAACTAAAAAATAACTTTTGACTTTCAAAAGTTCCAATCAATTGTGGATATAAACACTTTTAATGTATAATTTATGCATTTTATTTATGACAGATCTATTATTTAATTGAATTAATATTCTAATAAATTAAATAATAGAATCAGTATATTCAAATTTTGATAATTTGTTAATCATAAGGAGTTATGATTGTAAGATATAAATTACATATGATTGAATTTTAAATTATCTGTGGTCATTAGTAATAACGAGATATGAATATCGTTATTAAGGATAGATCATCACGTGTGATATTTATTATATGTGAAGTAAGTAGTCGATCTCACAAACTAAAGTATGATGACACTTAAATGAATAGGTGGATGTTTTGTTATAAAATAAAACATTGGAGAGCAGTTGGGGAGATTCTACATAAATAACTATTTGAGTGTCAGTTATTAATTTTTAATGTTTAGCAGTGGAATTGGTCATTCGACTTGAGGTCGTCATGGTGCCTTATATGAGGACAGTCATATTTTGGTGATATTGGATGTTGTTCTGCCAAGAGTCGTCAACATGACATCATTCGAGTATGTCAAAAATCATATGAAGGTTGTAAATGATCAATAGATGATTCGTCACTCTTAGATAGCAACAGATTAAGATTTATATTTCATTCAATTAAATTGATAGCGAAATCATTGGCTAAGGTATACTCATAAGTCGGAAATAAATTTTTGACTTACATTAACTTAATAGTGGTGCGAAAAATATGATTGATAATTGAGATTGACACATATCAATATCTCATAATTGATTGGATTATATTGACGAAATGATTATAGTTTCACAATTAAACGAACAAATTTGATTTTGTCATACCATGAGACATTTTCCGTGACATGTATTGTCCTGAAAAATTGTTAGATGTCAATATGAGATGATAAATGTGAATCGATGATAAATTAAAATGGAATATTTTAATTTATCGATTTTAATTAGATCAAAATAATAATTTACGTTGTTGGTGTCGTGATTGAAAATCTAATGAGTCACACATAAAAGGAGAACTAAGAGAATAAGATTCACCAATTAGTTAATTAACAAATGTTGGACAATTAATTATTTGAGTTGCTCATTAATAGGCTCTAATTAATTAATTCGTGAACCCAAACAAATTAATTGGATTAATTAAATATTGGATCGGATCAAGTTTAAGACACGAGCCAAACCCATTTGAACTTTTATTAATAGGTTGCAAGGGTTAGAAAAATCATAAGAGAACATGATTCATATTCTTTTGCCAGCACAAGAAAAGAAAAACCTTAACTCTCTTATTCTTGTTCCATGTGTAAATTTTCATTAGAGTTTGGACAATTGAATAGTTGTGGATTGCAAATCGTGATTGTCCGTGTTCAAGATAAGCAAATGAGTTTGTAGAATTCAACAAATGTATATTTTCTATTACAATTTCTATTTAGACACAAAGCATTCATTTGATAAAAAATGAAGTTTGTTATTTTTTGCTATTCGTGATTAAGTAAATTCCCAATTATATATCTCACATACTTTTGTCTCTTCGTTCCTTGTAAGATGGATTGAGAACCATGATGTTATGAAAGTTAATTTCTAAAAGTAATTTGTCCTTCGAAACAATTTTTCATATCCATTACGGAATCTATGTTTTGAGATTACATTATTTAATAACATAATCTCAAACAAAATATTATGTTCAAAAGTAACTAAAAAAATAACTTT